AAACAAAAAAAAAACAAAAAAACCACCAGCAACAAAAAAAGGGAACTGTTACTGTGTAATCAGTATATTAAAAACTTTTACTGACTCAGCCTCTCAGATGGACTACTTACATCAACATTTTCAGGATACAGTTTTAAAGCAAAATTATTCTCATGCAATTTTAGGACCTGAATTCAAGAGGAAAGAACATTTGAAAATAATGGGAACTGCAAAAATGCAGTGATTTTCTGAAATAAGCCAATGAGTGTCTGTTTGCCATTATGCAATAAGGATAGTTAAGTCTTCAAGAACATTAAGCTGTTATTTGCACTATAAAAAGCTAAAGGAAAAATAGACTCTGTAAACATGGGTTCTCTAAATTAATGGATTCTTTTCTTCCCACTTTGGTCCAGAGAACAGATTAAAATATATTTCACAAGTAAAAGTGAATTTTATCTCTTATAGATAAAATTACACTTATTGTCAAAATTCACTTCGCATTTTCAAGCCATCATTTTGTACTTTATGAACCCCTTCCCTATACTGATGGTGGAACTTGCAGTCTAAATCTGAAATTGTCATTGAAAACAGAGCATATTATCAGACTGTATGAACCAAGGTAATGCACTTCTCTTCCCTGGCTTTTATTTCTTCATGTGTCAGTCAGAGAGTAATTTATCTGCTGATTTCTTTGTGGGAGTCAAGTAACTGAATCACAAAAATTCTGGGTTCCTTTTTAAGCTCTGCTCCTTACTTTATCTGTGACTTCAGACATGTCACTTAATCTTTCTTTACTCCATTTCCCCCTGCAAAAATGGAAGCTGTAAACCATTCCTTTATTTTCCTTCTTTCACAAAGATGACTGCTCTTCTCCAACCCTATTTGATATTGAAACATGGGCTAACTTAAAATTCTGTGCTGCAGATCAAAGACATGTTCATGTAGAAGTACCTGAGCTAGCTTTAAGGCAGATATCTCAGGTGTGGCAAACAGTTTAATTAGGACTGCATGGAAACAAATCTCGAGGGAAGATCATACAAGCCATAACCTGCAGTGCTGCAGTTTCACCACTATAGGTCCTCTAGCTAAATTAAAGAAAAAATAAAACTGATTAGGCCACTACATGCATAAATAAACTGTAGGTATGCAGAAATCAGAGGGTAGGGAGAAGGAATATAATGAAATATTTCTGCAGAGCTGCAAGAAACCTGAGAGAGACCTAATAGAACCAGGTGAAATGAAATTAAACAGAGCAATGAAAGCTCTGTTTAAAGATCATATATGTAATTAATAACATAGGAATTAGTATGAAAAGGCTGTCTTGTCCATTCCTCAAATTGTGAGAATACATCTTCTGCTATCCCTACCTTTGCTAGAAGAAATAGAACCTAGGGAGATTTATAATTCAGAGGAAAGGTAAATTATAAGGAAACATAACAATCCATATATTTAAAAACGAAAATGGAATGCTTCCATACTCTTTCTAATAATGAAAAAAGGAATAATCATTAAAACAGTTAAGTAAGAGTTAACAAAAACCCAAACAAACAAACTCAAAACAATTTTGGCAGCCTTCAGAGGATTTCACTGTTGAAAGACATCCTTCAGGGCAGTAACCTGGCTTGTGGTAAATTAGTGGGTTTTTAGTACTACTATTATTATTATTCAGAAAATCACATGCTGACTATTAACTGTTGGGGTCAGGAGGAGAGGTAATTCTGGAAGCTTCTCAGAATTTTTTAAAGATTTTCTTCTGAGATGCTGTGTTAGTCATGGTCAGAACTAGAAAGCTATGACAAAAGACCAGGAAACTAATTTACCATGGTAATGTATTTGCCCTTGATATACAAATATGAATGTAATGGAAATGTTCTTCAGAAAATTATTGTGCCATTTACATTAAGACAGTACCATTCTAACAGCAAAATCAGTGAAGGCTGCACATATGAGCAGAATTTCCTTGTAAGGAAAGCTCCAAGGGCAGGGATAAATTAACTCAGAAGTTACTTTTGGTTCTGCAGATTTTACTAATTAACAAGATCTTTGCATACTGAATTTTCACAGTCAATCTGCTAACATTTCTTTTTTTCTTTCTTTTTTTCTTCCTTTTTTTCTTTTTTCTCCCACATCTGACACCACAGCTAATCAGCAGAATAAAACTTCAATCTACATCTGACAGTCATGTAGGCTGGTGGGCAATGTACACCATGTTCTAGGAAAATCAACCCCCTTACCCTTTCTTTTTCCAATTTTCCAGTGTTTTATTCTCAACTGAGAAAATTTAAAGAAGCTCTTAACAGCAAACAGAAAGTTGAATTCCCTATATACTCTGCCTGTGAACTTCTTAAATTTGCCTTAACTATAAAGATTACTTGTTTTCCTTAGTCATCTAGGCTTAAAAAAAAAAGAGAAGGAAACATATTGGAAGGTTTCATGTACTGTGCTGAAGATTATTATTTTAAATTCTAAAATGAAAGGAAATCCAAAGCAATTAGTTATAACTGCATTGTTTTACACTAACTGAAATTAAATGATAAATATTTGAAGTAAAATTTAATAACCAAGATCACTTCCAAAATGCTGTTTCCATGGAAAATCTTCATAAAAAATCCAGTATAAATCCTGATTAAAACCTAACATAGTCAAACACTGCAAATTACCTAGATTCCAATTAAATGTGACAAATGAACGCTTGACAGACTTCAATTTCAATTCTATTTCTGTCACAATGATCCATTAATATTGAAGATTATATTATCAGAATTTGAACCATGCAATAGTCAAAATACAAGTGGACTTAAGAATCATATGACAGAAAACTCTCACTCAAATACCAGGTATTACATATGTGAAGGAACAAAAGTACATTCCATCCTGTTCCATCGTTAATTTTATAGATTAATCTTAACAGAAATTTTTGGAGGTAGATGACATGCCACTATTCAAATCTTCTCTTTAAAATGTGACAGCAAAATCCAGAAGTCTGTAGAGTATAATTTTCACCACAATATCACCCACCTTTTAAAGGTCTCTGTTCAAGGTTTTATAAAGGAGGAGGAAATACTGACTCTATGCATGTCTTACCATGCAAAATTTTTTTACTAGAAATTTTTTTTTTCATTCACCATGAACTATTGTATTTATCTACCTCTACGTTGCTATCTGTTAATTTTAGAATGCTATTTTCAAAACCAAATCCAATAAATTCATCCTACCAAATATAAAATTATCTATTTTTAAAAAAAAAGCATCTAAAATATTTTAGTTAATAGAATGCAATTCCAGTTTTTGCATCAATACGAAAACTTACACTATTTTGCTTTAATTTATGACACTCATAAGTGCCCAAGCACTTTTTCTTTTCAATTGAACTTCAGTTAGTGTGATTTTCTTTTTCACTGGCTACCAAATACATTTAAAATTATATTCATTTGTGATTCTACAGGTTCTCCAGCATGGATCAGGCATATCCCATGTCAAAATACTTTCTGAACTCAGAAGTTCTAGAAATCGTCCACTTTGCTGGATCTCCAAGGGAATTGACAAATTGTATTATCCTAACCACAAAATCTCACTACAAAACAGACAATAAAATTATCAGCCCAATTTAAGTACAAACTCTATAAGCTTTTTTTCTGACATTTTTTCCAGTAACACCATTATCACTTTTCCCCCCTACCATATCCCCAGAAAAATGAATTGTAAACAAATATATTCATATAAACAACCAAGGAGAATATATAAATGCAAATGTATAAACATACATAACCTAATGCGTCTTTAGATGGATAATACTTCCTTTTTAGTCAATTAATTTTTTTGCTATTGGGATATACACGTTAAGCATATGTAGACTGCTGTAGCCATTCTTCAGTAATACATACTAGATTTTGAAATATCTTACCATGAAAAATAACATAGTTTTAATGGGTTGACATATCTATCTCAAATAAGACAAAACCCCAAGAACAATTATTCAGTATTTTAATCTCTGAAAAACTAACATGTACTTAGCCAAATTAATTAATTCATTCTATAACAAAAATATACACCACCTTTCTTGCATGTAGCCACCTATTACAATTGATTATAGAAAACCCATTATTTCTTTGGTCATCAAAAATCTGTACACTGACATGTATTAAATAATTTTTTGCTTATGGACAAATGAAAATATAATGAAGTCAGTCTCTGACTTCATAAAACTTTAGATCAAGGCTAAAAAGTGGAGAACAGTGAAATATTCGTGTTTTATAAAATACATTTCAAAATTAATAAGAATTTTGATTTTTAATCCTGGATAGTCTTAGATAGAAAGAAAAACAGAATCTAACCTGAGACTCATCAATATCTTTTGGTTTTTAATAATAGGAGAATTTCTATGGAATAAATATTTAACATTTTCCCCTTCTACATAAATGGATCCTGAATTTAAATGAAATCTTGTAAAAGTATTGCACAAAATAAAGTGTGAAGAAAAGAAAAGTAATATTCTTCTATTCTGAATAATGAAGAATGGACTTGGCATTGGGTTTTATTTTGGAAACAATCTATACAACATTTTTGGGGAAAAGAGTATTCTCTAGAGTAGGCTTTTAAAATGCTATTTTCTTTTCCTGATGCTGTATATATTACATTCTGGGAAATTTCCTAAGTAGGATTTGAATAAAAAATGGAAGGAAATGAGAATATATGTCCTTTATGGTCTTTTATAGAAAATGAAAAGTTTGTAATTTTATTTGATTATCATTTCCCAGACCTCTACTGATATTTTTTTCAGTGTTTTAACTGCTTCTGCAGTATAGATTTTAAGTTATATAAAAAAAAGGAAGTGCTGATCTAATTAGTGGTGTTATGCTCCATTATTTGGTATACCTGCATTTTAACAAACTTTAAAATAAAATAATTACAATATTAATTATTTAATATATTTATTTATGTTTTTGGACTGACCTTTCAAAAGTCTACTTAGTATCACTTGCTAGTGAGATTATGTGTGTGAATGTTGTGTTTGCCCCTACCATTTTCCATATGCTCTGCCTCACCAACACTGCCATCCGGCGTAGTCCTTTCGTAGTTGTCCTCTGGGAGTGGAAGGGCACCCAGTCTTGGCCCTGATGAACTCTTACTGCTTGGTGTTTCTGACTCCTCCAGACCGCTGTCATAGCAACTCTGCAATGACCCTTGATGCGGGTCCTGAGGCTGACTCACAACAGAAAACGTCACTCTACGAAACGGCTGCAAGAGAAAAGATTCTGAATGTCACTAGAAAGTTCAGTCTTGGAACAACTGATTCTCAAAACATGACTTAAGCAAACTAATATTTTAACATTTACCAGTTAAACAATTTTGTCTACATTAAAGCAAACAGAAAGTACAGTTCTTACATAAAAGGCCACTGGACAGACTATGCATGGAACTTTACTGTAATACATGGTCCAGAGCCTTCACACAGTTTATCATAGCCTCCTTTCAAATGCTTACATGGGCTAAGAAAGCTGGTTATAATTATTTATAAATTTTTGCACAATTTCTCTATCAATCAGTTGTAATAAATTGATCAGAATTAATGTCAATCAGACTGCATAAAGTACTTGACAGTGTGTGCACATGTATGTGTAGGATTGTGTGGGTGGGTAAAAATGCTCATCTGTAAACTTTATTGTGTGTATTACAAATACAGCAACACACCCATAAGATTTCTATAAAATCACTACCTCTGTTTCTGACAGCTAGTTAACACGAGAGGGGAGGAGGGGGGGAAAGGAAAAAAAAAAATAAAGGGACAAAAAAATCTCTTAGGTCCTTTGCCATAAAAGCCAGTGCCTGGATACGGGGTGTGTTGCCAGCTGACTAAATAAAGCCTTTAAAGTACCACTAGCACAGCTGACACAACACGCTTCCACTGGGACTGTACAAACATGGATTGTTAGAGATTTGTATTCATTCAAAATGACAGATATTACTGTTGCTCTAGAAGCCTACATGCTCAACCCTGGCACCAATGAGAATCCCAGGAAGAGTCAATCCTTCACATTTCAGAGGATGATGAGGACATCTAGGATTTTCAGTGAGAAGTTAGGGGATTCTCCTAGGATTTGAACTACAATCAAGCAGCAATGATACATTTAAAATAATTTAATGAGACATTTGAAAAAACTTGCTGTTCACAAGCCTAGAGAACCACAGACAAGCATCTGTTGCTCTAGAAAGCACCTTCTGAACAAACACCAATAACTTCATTTTATAAGACAAGCAAATCTTCCTGTTTCAAATGGGGAGTCTAACAGCACTGCGCTTTGGATTCAGATGCATTTCAAGCCCTGTGTTGCAATGGGACACAGACATAAATCACTCCCCCTGGCAACTGTAGTCAATATAGGCTGGAAATATATATGCAAGCCAGAAAGGAGAAAACAGCAACTGCAACCATTCACACAAGCCCTGAAGAACAGAAGTCCACATCAGGTTTACCAGTAGAGGGGTAGATGGAGTTTCATTTTGAGGGTACAAAATTTTTTGAGGGTACAAAACTTTAAAGACATAAAGATAGTTAGTGCTGATGATAGACACATTGGACAACAAATATAATGATAAACCTTCCTGCCCCAAGATGATCAAAAGTTTAAACAGGTGACAGTTACCAGAAATACTTTACTGTAACTGTTTGATGGACTGGAACTTCATGCAACGAGATGCTGTAGTCTGTAACTATACATCAATTACTACTTATCTGTGGGCCAATGACACAAACTGTGAATCTCAGAGATTTGAATTCACTTATACCATCCCATAGACTGTTCCTGAATATTATACTATTCTGGCAGTTACATTTGGACCAACTGAGCTAGGAGCAAGCCAATCAAATTATCATCAATTAATTGATGATTAAATCATCAATTTAATCTTGATGCAATTACCATATAAAAACATAACAGCTCGAGCTAGTACCTCTAAGGAGGGACCTTGAAGTGAGGAAATCCTGGGCTTTTATATTTTCATAGTCTAAATGTGTGGAAGTCTTGGGGTCTTCAGCTTCTGCCTTGTGTCTGAGTGCCTGTTCACCTGGATGGGCAAAGATCCCCATGCCCTTTACTGTGCAAAGGGTTAGCTGTCCATGGCCTCTTGCCTGGGGCTCCCAAAACCCAGAGCTCCCAGCTGCTCACCAAACTACCTGCACTGACTGTATTCCTCAACACCAGAAGGACTTTGCATCGTCTACAGTTCCTGCAAGAACAGTGATGTAATTTAAAATGGGAATCAGAAAAAAAAGTCATTCAATATTTGGAACTTTATTTTCCATTTCTTATTGATTTCTTGGAAATCAGTCTCCACTAGATAACAGGAACAGAACACTTGTTTATCACATCTGTAGCTACCACAAGAATCATAGCAAAGTTATCTAAAGTAAGTTTTGGAACAAGCTATAAAAGATTTAGGAGCATCTTGTTAATTTTCACATATTCTTTAAAAGTTATATGCCTTACCTAATTGGCATGAAGAGATGTGACAGATGCAAAGTTGGGCTTAGTTATAGCTGAGGCTGAAAATTCCCTAAGAACATTACTACATATCCTTGAAACTAAAAGAAATTTTATGTACTTTTACTAAGGTGATAATAATAATTTTTAAACAGATCTGGGTGTTAATCTTGCTTTTTTCTTAAGTGCTGTTCTGAATTGGAATTATCTAACACAAAACTAACACACAGAATATTCAGATCAGTAGATCCAGTTCAGCCCTTTCCATGGAATATCAATTTGAATGAGATGATGATAAAATTATTTCTGAAAGAATGATGTGCATGTTAATTGTTATTTTGCAGGTTTATTATACTTCTACTTTCAGTATAAACATCAGAATTCTGACCTTTCTATTGCATTACTTCTGAGAACTAGACATTCTCAGGCAAATATATGGCAAATTTTGAATGCATCCAGACCCCTGGAATAACATAATGGCCAAACTTTTCCAATAAAAGGGAATAGACTTGGATCATAATATATGTCTGTTACCTGCACAGTTAGAAACACTCCATGTGATTAATATAAAGAATTTTAAGAACAAAAAATATTAAATATCTGTATTGCAGTTGACTGTTTCCTTTCCGACATCATCTTCTCTGATATGCAAATTACCATATACTTTAGACAGTATAATCTGGATAAACATTTGTCAGATCAGAACTATCAGTTATAAAAGATACTAAGTTTTTATATACTTTGAATATTTGGCCTAAATGAATTATGGCACCTCATTATTATACCCAAAAATCTAGGATATCTTAAAGCTGACAAATAAAGAGCTCTAAACAGGCTTTAAAATGCCTCTGAAAAAACCCTGTATATGCATATACATATTACTGTTCATGAAACTCATATTAGTCCTTTAATTGCTAATAACAAGAGTATTTTAATTATATGAGTTTACATCCCTATGAACTAAGTTATGAACACTAGAATACAATACATAATAACTACTACTTATGCATCAGTTTCTATGAATGCAACAAATCTGCAAAATCAAGAACTTTCTTCATATGCTCTAATCTTCGTTTATATCCTAATCTGTGGAACAGTTGAGGCTTCACATAAAACTGCATATTAATGAAACAAACGAGAGGGAAAGATGATGAATACCAGCATTAATATTTACAAAAAGTTACTGGTAAAATGCTGGTCTTCTTATGCATTTATTGCCATGCAAAAATTAAGGATAGTAACCTCTACTTAAATAAGCAAACTACATACTAAATTTTGTTCTGCCATTTATAAATTTACATCAGCAGTTTCTCAGAAAAATGGACATGAGACATTTCCAAGTGCTGACAAATTAAGGCACCTAACTATGAGGGGAGAGGGTTATGTTTAGCTTTATTGATTTTCAATGCACAACATTAACACTGCTGCATCTGCCACTGCTGTGAATCAACATGGTAGAGTTACTTTTACCCAAATAAGTCTGCAACTGTTCAATTTGTCCTTCCCAGCAAAAAAAAGCAACGTTAAGCCTTTATTAGTCCTTTGGCAGGAACTTATGATATTCAGGTTTAGTAAGAAGACTGTAGGTTTAGTAAAAAGACTGTAGATTTGATAATTTTCACCCTCATATATCATATTTTCTGAAAACAGCATATCGAGTTCTTCCTAATTGTATCTGATCTTGGAGACAAACAGATCACAGAGAAAAGACAGACCTTTGCATTATACCTCGGTGGTAAATCTCCATTTCTTCCTTGTTTCAACTGTATTTCTTAAATGGGATCATTTCTTTTCCACCCATCCATAGAACAAAAAAACACTACAATGCCAAAGACATAATTCCTGCTATCTGTAGTAATTGAGTTCTATTAACTTATTCTATGGTACAGAGTTTATCTTAACCAGTGTTAAATAATCCATCCCTATCCAAAACTGGAACTAAAATTATATTTTTAATACATCAAGAACCCTAGTTTTGGAGCTTGAATTTAAGGACAGATAGAATTTGTAAAAAGCAAAATATCCATATAGCTCCACAAGGCTTAATCATGACACTTTTACACCATTATGAGAGAGATTTTTTTTTCCCCATATCCCAAAGTTTGAAGTTTTGTATTGTAATTCCTCATATTTCACACTTCTCATGGATTATGTTCTTTCATGGTTTCTGTCTATCAGTTGCTATCAACCTTGTAAACATTTGTCAAAAATGTTTGTGCTTTCAGACTGTAGTAGTGGGGTGGAAGAGTAAATCCTTTTTATGTTTAATTTTTTAGAGAGCTAAGATTGCAACCATTTCTCAGCCAGTTACTTCACAACTTATTCTGTGTACAAAGTACACTAAAGTATTCAAGTTCAGTATAATCTTGTTAAGTATAATCTTAATTACTTAACACTTGGACAAAAATAGTAAGACTTTCAGGCCTTCCTGCAGTCACAATACCTACATCTCAAAACTGTAAGGACTGAAAACATTTTAATCAACTGCAAAATGCAGTCCAAGATGCAACTTAACATGTAGAGAAGCATAAAAAAATTAGCCTAAACTGAGAACCAAGCTAAAGCAAGCTATACTATCCCAAATATTTCTACCAGTTTTTCCATCATTAGCTTGGACATTACCCAAACCCCTAGAACATTAGGAATTAAAGTTCTTATTTTTCCCTGACTTTCAAATCAGACGAATTTCCACTTTAACAGTGGTATTTGCTGGAATTTAAGGTGACCTAAGAGCTAGCTGGAGGTCATCTAGTCCAA